ATATATTTTGTTGTTGTTGTTGTTGTTGTTGTTGTTACTGGAGATTGAGTCTAGGACACTGAGCTACATCTCCAGCCATTTTAATTTTGTATTTTGAGACACAGTCTTGTTACATCACTAAGTTGTCCAGGCTGGGCTCAAACTTACAATCTTCCTTCCTCAGCCTGTCAGCATAATTTTTAAATTTAGAACTAATTTTAGACTTTAGAAAAGTTGCAAAAAGTGTGCAATTTTCAAACACCCCTCACCCAGTTTTCTCTATGTATGTAGCATCCCAACGTCTCATAGAACCATGGTACAGTTGTCAGAAAAAGGAAGTTAACTGTTACCTAAACTAAACACCTTAATCGAATCTCAACATGAGTATTCTTCCACTATTCTAGGACCCTCCCAGTCTTCCACCTGTTTTTGTTTGTTGTTTTTGCTTAGTTATCTGCACTCTGACATGCAATCTTGCTTTCTGTTTTTGAGGGTGAACTTTAGAAGAGTATTGATCAGCTTTTTTTTTTTGGTACGGAGGATTGAACTCCAGACCTTGCACTTGCGAGGCAGGTGGCAGCACCACTGAGCTAAATCCCGGCCCGATCAGCTTCTTTTTCAAGGGTCCCTCATTTGCATTTATCTGATGACATCTGATATTTTCTCATGAATGAATGTGATTGTATACTTTTAGGGCAAAATACCATCGATGTGTCATCATGTCTCTCTGAGCACCCCATTTCCCGTGTTATTTCCTGATGCTGTGGACCTTGGATACTTGGGTTAGTATGGTCTCTGCTGGGTTTGCTACTGTGAAGTCAGTGGCAAATTAATCAATTAATAACTTATTGAAAAGAAACTTTGAGACTTTGCAAAATATCTCCTCTTTCAAAAGCTTCTATATATAGTATGATTAGTAGATTTTTTTTTTTAAACAGGGTTTCCCTATGTAGTTTAGGTCCTCCTGCCTCAGCCTTCTAAGTGCTGGGACTGCAGACATGCATCACCCAGCTGGAATTAGTGGATTTTTCACTGCAATAGTTATGATTGTTGGGACTTGAAGGATGGTGATTTTCCATTTTTCTCTTTCTTTTTAATGTATTAATTAAAAACTGGCATAAAGAAGAGCTGTGCTTTCTTTTCAATTTACATCAGTATGTGTATATAATCTAAAACTAGTATTATTGTACTTCTTAAATTTAATATCCATAATTTTTAAACTGAGGAAAGATAAGCACAGAAGCACATATTAAGAGTGAAGAAAATTGTGATAAATGTAAGATACTAAAATTCTAATTACATGTACCTATGTTAATGTAAGATATATGTAAATATGTGAGTTCAAATGTTTTCATAAGTAGTGTTTTACCTTTTACAGGTTCTTCCTCCTTTTGGATTTTTTCATTTATTTTTGCAAAATAAATCCATCAAATATGCTGCTTCTATTTATGATTACTAATAGAAAATATAAAAGCAGATTCAGAATATAACTTTATTCTGTTATAGCCTTAGCAAAACCTTTCCATAGTCCAATTCTCTAATACACAATTACAAAATTTCAAAGTCTTTTAAATAATGCAAGCTCTTATTGTCTAATTTTTTTAGCTCATCCTTCGTTTTATGAGGATAAATCCAGTGTCTTCTTGTTTATAATTTTGTCTTTAATAATTGCAACTTGCAGAGATGAAAAATCAGAATTCCTCTGTTTGTTAAATACTTCTGCTAAAGATCTGCAACCAATTCTGAGCAAAATAAAATATAATACCAGAGGCATTGTTTACAAAAATAGCCGAGTTCCAAGGGACATTGGTTGATTTATGAAGTAGTGCTTCAAAGAATCAAACACTTCTAAAAACTGATGAATGCCCAGCCACAAAGCAACTCTGTACTCTCACAGGTATACAGTTATTTTAAAATTCAGTATCAGCTTTATCCTCTAAATTGCGGTTCACTCTAGTTATGTGTATATAAAAATGTGTAAATTATGAGTACAGTTTTCATATTACTAAAACATCACATCTTCATTATCTGTGTGCCACAATTTTCAGGTACACTTCTATTCCACAGATTTACTTTAGTAAAACAATTGTTTTACTGTGATGATGCGCTCCTCCAATATTTGTTATTATCGTTTGCATTGAGAATAGTTAATTTTTAAGTTACATTTTTAGTAGTATTTGCAATAAGATTAGATCAAAAAATTCACCTTTGACATAGAAATTTACAAGCTCTTCTTAGGATCTGTAATTTGGATTAAGTGTTTTGAACCTTTGTGAGAATTAACTGACTTTCTACTTGAGCTGGCCGCTCACACTTATATCAAACTGTCACCCTTTAACTGTTAGGAAAACTCCCTGCCAATGATGTCAGTTCTTTGGTGGCGTTGCTTTCAATTTCTTGAAGGTTGGCAGAATCTCAGAAATAAAACTGAGTGATGTCATTTGACCTAATGGAGAAGTCATGCGGTATGGAGTAACACACAAGCACATTTTAAGCAGCTGTGAGTGTCAAATGACTTGCATTCAGCACCATCCTTTTTAAATAAGGATGCATTTTTGGCATAGACATGGCTGTTCCTTCAGATTTCTGTCCTCTGATTGTCTTATGATCCGAGTTAGCATTAAGGGTCCCACCGTAGATGTGTACTTTGTGTGTTACACATTCGCCAACTTTCTTGAGAAGCATAACATCAACGTTTAATTTATATTAAACATGAATGTGTTAAGCCCTTGCTTCTGATGGGCTTATTGCAAAATAAAAGAAGCATAACCAAGTAACCAAAGGAGTTGTAGATACACATCAAACAATAAACCCAGCTAGCGCAGCGAGAGCACTCAGCTGCTCCACAGCGGGGCTGCTGGGCTTCTGCTTCCCACAGGTTCACACCTAATCTGAATTGACCCCATTGAGCGAACTCCAGCTTCTCATGGTCATGGCAGGTGCCACCTCACACCCAGGTGCCACACCTGGAGGGCAGGGCCTCCAGCATCGTCTGTACCTCCTACCACCAGGGGGCAGAGAGGAGCTCTCTGTTTCTAGTTTATATCCTAGAGCTGCCCTTTGAGCGGCCAGTGTGCTGCCCCTGGCACTTCAGAGGGAGATGGAGAAGCGGGCCGTGTTCCCACCATTGCCTTGTGACACAGAGAGAACTCTGTCGGCTTCATGTGCCTCTCACACCTTACTACAGAAGACACCATGTCAGCAGGTGATGGACAATGGAGGGCCTAGGAAAACTGCTCGTGACACAGTTGCTGATAATGAACTTGTGTGTGTGGTGCTGGGGATGGAATCCAAGGCCTGTGACCCTTGGGCAAGCGCTCTACCACTGCACTACGTCCCCGGGGCTACTTCTCTGAAAAGGAAAAGGCCAGGACAAATACTAACGTGAGTGGAATGCTGAAACAACAGGCCAAAACCAGTACTCGAGGTTGCCCCAAACCTAGACTTCTCTTTGATTCCAGCACATGAACCAACCCCTCCACACACATTTTCAGTTTAAGGAGCTGTCTGGGGTAAGCTCTGAAGGACAGAGAGGCTCTCTTTCATCTTTTGGTACCCACCAATGCCGTACCTGGCCCTGCTTTGTGAAGAGGTTGATACCTCATAATTATTCATTGAGTGAAGCAACAAGTGGCCAGTGAGTCCACACTAGTGTGACCACGTGTAAACCTTTCTTTTAGAAAATTCTTCTGCACACACACACACACACACACACACACACACACACACAAAGAAAATACTTTTACCGTTCTTGAGAATGGTTAGCCACAAGGAATGACTGAATATAGACCTCTTTAAATAGGCTGGACTTTTACTCAAAACACTACAAATAACCAAGTCATTTTCTTCACCCTCCCATAGGATCAGCTCTGCTTATTAAACTTGTGAGCCTCCATGAATACTAAACAAGACCGATTTCATGCCATTTTTATGACTCATTTCCAGTAAGAAAAGCATAAAAATACAAGGTCTGTGTTCGTGTCTGTATGCGTGTATCTCAAACAGTGGATTCACATCTAACATAACAATGGTTCCCTTTAATAGAGAAGGCAGTGGGTATGGAGGTGTGTATGAAAGGATTTTACCCTGACTATACCCACTTCTCCATTGTTTTAATATTTTTGTGATGGGCATATATTATATGTGAAATAGAAAAAATGATAACTTTCTAAGAGTTCTTATCCTGCATTGCCCTGTGTGAATATCTTAGATATGCAAACCACTTCTGAGGAGTTCTTTGGGACTCCTAAGAAATGGAGAGAATACAGCCGGCTGTGGTGGCGCACGCCTGTAATCCCAGCACTCGGGAGGCTGAGGCAGGAGGATTGCTGTGAGTTCGAGACCAGCCTGGGCTACATAGTGAGTTCTAGGGCAGTCTCGACTACATAGTGAGACCCTGTCTCCAAAAAACAGAAAAAGAAAAGGAAGAAATGGAGAGAAAAAACATTTGGCTCAACATTTTTCAAGACATTTCCATAATTATTTTTAATAATCATTACCACAATAAGAAAAAAATATATTTGTGACTATTTGAGAGTAAAACCATCTGAAAAAAAATAGGAAAGGAAAAATAGAAAAAAGTAGAACTCTTTAAGTTTTTTATAAGACATATAAATTCCACATGTAAAAGTTTGTCAGTTGTTAAATCCTCTCATAAGCATAAGATCTGAAAAATAGCAGGGCTAAAATCAGTAAAGATGCAAAACTATTTAAATGATTATATCCTTAAGAGCCAACCACGTCTTAGGCATCAAACAAAAGGAGAGAACATTTGGAAAGCAGAGGCCGAAAGACTGAAAACTGAAAAGCAAATGGCTTAGTGCTGCTGCGGGACTTCAGCAAAGGGAGAAGCCGGTTTGAAAATAAATGTGGAGTTTGTGTAATCACCGTGAGCCTGAAGACGGCTTAGAGTTTATGTATCTCCAAGGACGCTTTGTGAGTCAGAAAGATGAAACAGAGCACCGGGAGGTTATTAAAATATTTCCTGCTGTATCACAGAACTTGAGAAGGGAATGTGTTACCTATGACTTGCATGGCTGGGTCCACGTCGGCTGTGGCTTCTTCCAGCAAGGACAGCAGCTTGGCTGATAGGTGGTGCACGGACTCCATGTTGCTGAACAAGCTGTGCACGTCCAGCCTTTCGATCTGCAGAGACACAGACACCCAGCACAGCTGATGGGCAGCGAAGCACTGCATCAAGGGCACCTTCCCCTGCCAAACAGCAGGCATTTCACTAACCAGCCCATGTCTCCATCAGCTGTTCCCGTAAACACTGTTATTTAGGCTTTCTGGAGCTTTCTAGAGCAGCTAGGCAGCGTGTCATCCGGGAAAAGGGTTATGAATGTTACCTCTGCCTTTTTTCTTTATTTTGGATATGTTTTGAGTTAAGTGTACAGCTCCATATTTGGATAAAAACCAGAATGGGAAGAAGTTTAGGCCTACTGGTATCTCTATTAGTGTGCATGGGTTTAGAACAGTTTCCAACTTTCATAGCAGAAATCAGGTTTATCCTTGTCGAGTAACTGTGCTCAAAGCTATGGTTTTTAAACCATAGGGGTTCTAAAATTGAAGGCCAGTAGGTATGCTGGGTTATTTCTTCATCTTTTTCTTGGAAGGAAATATAAGTGGAAATATTCATCAAACATAGATTAATTAGTGTAGTTTCACGCACACCCTCACAACCATTCCTTAGATCAGTGTAACCAGTCTTAGATCTTACAGATGGTGTTTATAATGTATCTATTCGGCCAACCATCCTCACATCAGGTATTTCCTGAGCGCCTTCTCTGTACCTAGACCTGTCACAGAGTCAGACTCTGTCACAGGTAGTGAACAGTTAGTAGGGGAAGGACCAACCATCCTCAGCGATCGGAGATGGGGGCTTGGATTTTGCTGGGTCTTATTCAAAGCTTGGTCCTGAAGTTTTGAGTCAGTTCCCCTTCCACGGTCCAACAGTGTTTGTTCATAGCATGACCACATTCGTGGGGCCCCCACCAGGCTACAGTAGGGGACCCGAGGAGGTGACGCTACCCAGGACATACTGTGCACGAGCTCACGGGTGAATGACCAAGTCACCGAAAACCATGTCATGGAAGAGCTCAAAGGCAGGGCAGTAAGTAGGGCTGCTGCACAAAAGCAGGTCAGCAAAAGTAGAGGCAGGAGAGACGTGGAGTGGAACCAAGGAAAAGGGGCCAAGAAATGAAGGAATTAGGAAGAAGGGATATAAAGTAAGGAGTAGAACTGGGGGAATTCTGGAGGTGAGGCCCAACCTCCTGCAGCTTCCTTTTGCCGGCAGCACCACTTTCTTAGTTGTGCAAAGTCTGTATCGAGTGGGAGAAGGAAGCACCCTGCTCATCTTTTTACCTGTGTCTTTTTAGCACTGGCTCATCCGTGGTCCTCCGTATTGGACACATACCTTATTATTTTGGAAAGGCTATTCTGGCACTGAACTGGGAAGCGTGACTCCTTGCTCCTTTTTATTATTTATTTTTTGGTACCGGAGATCGAACTCGGTTCCTTGAGCTTGCAAGGGTAGGCGGCAGCACCACTGCCTAAGTCCCCGGCCCTCCTTGCTCCTTTTTAGAATGTGGGCGATGTATCAGTCGTGTCTCACACTGTCCACAGCATCTCTTTCAGCTGTCCTGGGAAATTCCCTGCCCTCCTGCCAGCAGCCCTGTCTTCCAGAGAACTCTCAGCCCCATTATGAATCTAATCCCTGTATTACAGGCAGTGGTTTGTTTCCATACAGGTTAGGTACTTCTACCCATTGTATGTATTCTGACATTATCTGCACCTCCATGCTAATTATTACATTGAAATCACTCTCTGCTCTTAGGATGTCTGAACCAGGCTCTCCCAAAATGTCCCTTCATATAGTGTTCACTAATAGGAGAGAGCCCAAGTGGATCTTTTGCCTGAACCGGACATCAGGTCTTCCCATTTCTGTATCAGAAAATATACTTAATACTACACCAAGTATCTAAAAGGCATAAAATGGCTCCATGACTTTTTGTTAATTACCAGTTACACGATTATTTAATGACAGTTTATTATTGTCCAATGTTCAAAAGCCACACATCTCTGCAAACCACAAATTGATGCCTTACTTATTCTAAAGAATTGTCTTTTGTGTTGCGTATTAGTCAAATCCAACTTTGCCTAGGGAAAGACATATTTTATAAAACTTGTATACAAGTCAAGTTTTTATAGATTGATTCCTTTTAAAGGTACTGCTATTTACTTCTTCAGATCATTTTGAAAGGAGTACTTCTAAATTGTGAGATTGCATTCCCTAACTTATCTGCCTCATAACACAAACAAATAGACGAAATTCACACAGTGTATCCCTCATGATTTCTTTTCGTTGTGGAAACCCTTCTGTGAACTCGGTGTGCCTTATATTTGTTATTTCATACATTTGCTCTAACTTGTCTGCAAAGGCAGGAACCAATTAGAAGAAAAGGAAACTAATGCAGAGTGAAGAAACGGGCCAAGCTCAAAATTAGGCAACTTCAGACTGAGCTAGACTAGGAAACTGACCTTTCCCTTCTGTGCCGTGGTCCGTACCAGCAAATGCTAACAACAGAGCCCTGTGGAATCAGTCTGCTGAGGCGCTCTGTGAGCTCCTCACCAAGGTGTCACTTCCCCGATTCATTTTCCAAGGTCACTGTCCCGCATATCTCCTTTAGATTATGAATGCATTTAGCCAGAATCTAATTTTACATTCTATCTACAATCTTAGCCCAGCACAACAAATGCTAAATAACAAAAAGTTAGATTTTAATTCCATTCCTCCAGAAGGACAGAAAGGATTAAACCAGCAACTGGCCTGGTTTCAATCATATCACTACGGGCCCATGGGGATTCTGTGACTCATGAAATGAATTCACATTCAGTCACTGCGGTGCCAAGGAACACACAAGCACACGGCCCAAATAGGCTTTTAAACCTGAGAGATGATTTTATGATTGCGGATGTAAATTCAAGGAAACATGTATGCATTTATTAATCATTTGCTAGAAACAGGCAGTGGTCTAAGTGCTAAAAGCTCAATTGTATTTTAAAAGGATTAAAATCATTTTTTTTAAGGACAGTTTAAGTATGTACTATTCTGAGCTGAGCCAATATATAATTCAAACATAGAACATAAAAACTAAAGGCCATTGTTTACATACATTTTAAGCATTCGTTGCCACATATACTTCAAATAGCAAGTCCTTATTACATTTAAATATTTACTAGGTTTTACAATCAGGTTGTAGGATACCTCCAGTTTTATTTATGTATAAAGATTGCTTTGGCTATTGAGAGTCTTTTGTGGTCCCCCACAAATTTTAGGTTTGTTTTCTATTTCTGTGAAGAAAAAGATACATGGGATTCTGATAGAAATCACACTGAGTTTACAGGGTGTTTGGAGTAAGGAGATTTTAATCCTGTATTTTCAGACATTGAACACTCGGTATCTTTTGATTTGTTTGTGTCTTTTTCAAATTCACCCAGCAATGATTTAGAGTTTTCAGGGGTTTCAAACCCCACTGTAAACCTATAGAAATCAAATCAACATGGTTCTGGCACCCAGCTCAGCACCTGGACCAGGGGAACAGAATAGAGAGCCCAGAAAGACACCCCCACATTTACAGCCAATGGATTTCCAACAGAGGCTCCAAGAACATGTGCTGGGGACGGGGATAATCTCTTTGATAAATGATGCTGAGAAAACTGGCCATCCACATGTGGAAGAGACACACTGGTCGCTCTCCTCACAGTGTGCAAAAATCACTTCAAAATGCATTCAAGGATTATAGATTAGGCCTGAAACTGGAAAATTATTGGGGAAAAAAAAGAGAAAAAAACTCCACGACCTTGGTCTGATCAATCATTTTTTGGATATGGCCCCAAGAGCATTGGCAACAAAAATGAAAATAGATAAAATTACATCAAACAAAAAAGCTGCACAGCCATGGAAGCCATCATCAGAGTGAAATGACAAGCTACAGAGCAGGATGATGTATTTATGAGCCACATATCCAGGAAGGGGTTAATATCCAACTACACATGGAACTAAAAAAAACCTGGTTTAAAAATGGGCAAAAGACCTGAGCAGACTTTTCTCAAAAGACAACATACAAATTGCCAGCAAGCTTGTGAGAAAATGCTCAACATAACAAATCATCAGGGAAACACAAAGTCACAGTGAGATACCACTTCACACCTACTAGAACAGTTTTATCAAATGGATGAAAGGATGGGGCTGGGGATTTAGCTCAGTGGGGCCGCCACTGGCTTGGCAAGCACAAGGTCCCAAGTTCGATCCCCAGTTAAAAAAAAAAAAAAAGATGAAAGGTAACGTGTAGATAAGGATTTCAGAAAAGGAAACCCTAGTATACTGTTGGTGGAAATGCAAATTACTACAGCTATTATGGAGAATAGTATGGGGGGGATGGCAAAAAATTAACATGTAAACTGCCATACTGTCCAGCAATCCTTCTTATCCAAAGGAACTGAAATCAGAATGTTGAAGAAATATCTGCACCATCATGTCCACTGTAGTATTTTTCATGATGGCCAGATAGGCAATCATCTTACACATTTGTCCAAAGGATGAATGGATTTTTAAAAATGTAGTATAGCTACCCGATTGAGTCCTATGCAGCCTTTAAAAAGAAAGCCTGACAGTTTTGACACTATGAATAATCTCTATAGAGATTATCATATGGACTATGTGATAATCTCTCTAAAATGACTCTAAAGAAGCTGAACTCAATAGAAACTAAGAGTCAATGGTAGTGACCCGAGGCTGGAAGTGCAAGGCACTGGGGAAATGCTTGTCAAAGTACATGGAACTTCAGGGTGGCAAAAGGACACTTCCAAGGCACCTAGTGTACACTGCCCTGTCCACGGTTAACGTGCAATGCTATTTATCCATTCATCTGTTGATGGGCGTCCACCATAGGTTGATGCCACAGCTTGGCTATTGTGAAAAGTGCAGCAGTCCAAGTAGGCAAGCAGGTTTTTCTCTGATATGTTGACATCACCTTGTTTGTAGCTACACAGAATTGGCTGCTGTGGCATATGGCAGATCTAGTCAGCTTCCTGAGGAACATTCTCTGTTCTCCACCATGGCTGTACCATTTTACATTCCCACCCACATCATATGAGCATCCCTATTCTCTGCACACTTGCCAGCATTGGTATGCTTGCCTGAATTTTAATAATAGCCATGCTGATTGGGAAGAGATGGTGTCTAATTGTGGTTTTTGACTTGCATTTTCTGATGGCTGATGAATTTGGGCAATTTTCTCATAGACTTACTGGCCATTTTGAATTCCTTCTTTTGAGAAATGACTTTATATCCCTAGCCCATTTTTAATTAAATCACAGTTCTTTGTTATTGATCTTTTTATGTTCTGGATATTAATACCTTGTTAGATGAGTAAATAGCAAATTTTTTTCTCATTCTGTAAGTTAACTGGATTGTTTTCTTTGCTCTTCTGTGAGTCTTGCTTGTTTATCCTAAAGCCTGTTATATACTTACATCAGAGATATTTATTAATTTGTGTGGGTCTGTCAAAACAAACACCTACCATATTTAAATAGTGCTGGGCAGATAGATAAGTACTCAATAAAAGTTTGGCAATTTTTTTTTTTTTGAGACAGAGTCTCACCATGTAGTTGAGACTAACCTGGAACTCGCTATGTAGCCCAGGCTGGTCTTGAACTTACAGCAATCCTCCTGCCTCAGCCTCCTGAGTGCTGGGATTACAAGCATGTCCCACCATGCCCAGCTCAAAGTTTGGCAATTTTAAAGAGTTGAATTATAGAATTCAAATGATTCGGTTTTGTTTGTTTGGTTGATTTTTTGGTGTCAAGGATCAAAATTAGGACCTGTGCTTGCCAGGCAGGCATGGTGCTATTAAGCTATATCCCCAACGCCCCCACTTTTTTTTTCTTATGGAAGCCATACATGCTCTTTTTCTGTAATCACTCCACCAGTCTTTGAACAAGAACTGGGCAATGTCCTACAACTTGTAAATTAGCATGTGATGTTTCTCATATCATGACAAGATACCTGCTGTATCCCGACATTGTATATTACATCATATACATAATTTTGCCTATTTTTCTTTCATGTTAGGGTCAATGTTATAAATTACATAAAATTTTGTTTTCTTACCAAAAAAGAACTAGGCAAAGGCCAAAAGTAGCTTAAATTAAAATATCAAAATTACCTGTTTTTTGTTTACAGTATCATAAATTAAGTGGAGATTTTATAATTTCATAATTAATTCTACCAACAGAGGCAAACTGCAGTGTTTAGTTGGGTCATTAGTGAACTAAGCAAACTTAGTTGCAGCAGAGCCAGCAAACTTGCCAGCAGAGCCAGACTCCTTCCTTAGCTTACACTTGGCAAAGGCTGATTGTTTATTTCTGTTAATCAATAAACAGTTGCACTGGGTGACTCGATGTCAGCCATGTCACAGGGAGGAGGAACCCAGCCTTCTCAGGGGTCACACACTCCAACCATGAACACCTTTAAAAGTCAACAAGAAAAATCATGGGACAAACAGTTTCAAAAATATAAGTTAAATGATTGTCATAAGAGCAGTTCATGTTCATAGTAAAAACCAAGAGTGTGTAGATTAAAAAAAAAAAAAGCATTATGATGATGTTTTCAGGTGGGTTCTTCCCAGTGATTTCTGGTGTGTCGTTATATCCCTCAAATAGAGTTCAGACATTTTAAAAGCTGAACATAAATATCAGCATTGGTTTTCCTGCTGTGATCATTGTGTGAAATACCACAGCCTTCTTAACTGGTCACAATTTCAGTGAAATCTGGACAGATTGCCTTTTATCAATAACTCTCCTGGGTAAAGCTTTGTTCATTTCCAAGATTACTTCTTTTTGATAAATTCTGTTAAGTGTGATGACTAAATTAAGGTTATTACTATTTTTTGAGAATTTAACAAGTTTGGCAAATTATAAACATTGTTCATGTTCTAACAGCCAATAGGTTAGAATCCCTTAGATATTAGTACCCTGACATCAATTTGGAAATCCACTTTAGGCTTCTAATTTGTTAGTCAGAATCACACCACATATAAGTTCTAGATAGATTACATGATCTGTACACAACAACTGTAGAAGACACAGAGAATAAACAGCATCGCTTTTGGTGAGTACCACCAACAATGCTCCATGGAATTATTTCCAGTAGAGAAAGCTTCCTCTTTAAGGTGGTTTTTGCAGTAAATCCAGGTTCTGATTGGGCCGGTTCAGACTCTCTACACATACTGTAGTGATTGGCATTACCATTCAAGTAGGGCAACTCCACCGTGGAGGGCTCTACCGGAACCTCTGCGGCCCAGCCTACTCTTCTGTGATGCAGGTCCAGCACAATAGGGTGAGACCCGGCCGTTCCCTGGATCAGATCACCCCATTCCTACACCGGAGCAGTCAAAGCCTAGTGATAAGGAGTAGAAGAAGGCAGGGATGTATAAACTGTAGACTTAAGTGGAGACCCAAGGCGGGATTTCCGAAGGGAAAGAATAAAGTCTTGTTTTATTTTTCAGTGAGGAAACTGAGAAGCCATATGCTTTCGAGGCAGACACTGGGGCCAGTGGAGGAAAAGCGTGCTGGCAGAAAGCCCTGGCGAGCACCAGGCTTGGGTGATCGTCTAATTGCTAGGGCATTTACCCAGACCCTTGGCTTCCAAATTACAAAGCTTTTCAGGGTAAACGAGCCATTATTTCATCAGGTGTCTCAAAACTGCTGCTTTGCAATGTGTGATATTTCCTACTGTGAAACTAGATTAGAAACCGCTAATTGAGTCAGACCACGAGGTGAATCCATGTCACCGCCAGGCGGTGGTTTATAAGGAAGCTGGAAGCCGATGGCCCAGGTTACTTGCTAAAGGACTTCAGCTGATCAGCCAGGCCAGCTTCCGTGTAGGAGAAAGAGGTGGGGCCTGGGAGGAATCTCAGTAGGTGAGGGGCGAGGGCTGCAGACAACAACGGGGGGAAAGGGCCCGAACAGAGACTGTGGTCCAGCCTCAGGGACCCCTGGGTTAGAAAGTCCACCCCGGGCCGGGGATTTAGCTCAGTGGTTCCCCCGCCTGCTTCACAAGCGCAAGGACCCAAGTTTGATCCCCCGTCCCCGCCCCCAAATGACCCACTTCCTGCCTTCTGGAGGCTGAGGTGTCACTTGTGCAGCCCTCAAAACCCAGCAGAGCATGAGGTGTGTTGCCAAATGGGAAGCTTACCAAAGCAATTTCACGGGACTGTTTGCAAGTCACCCTTGTTGACCACGTGCCCGACAATTCCGAAGGAGGCGTGGCCAGAGACAAGGGCGGCTGAGCTAAACAGTACAGTGAAATCAGTCACCCGAGTGTCTGGCTGTAAATGGTGGGTGGTTGAGAGGCAGCCACAGTTTCACACCTGTAATTTACCTGCATGCCTCTTAGCTTTAGATTGTACTCCTGTCTTCAGAAGCACACAGAAAGAAGCAGGGCTGGGTGTTAATTTGAGGGGCAGAGCCAGTTCCTTAAACACTTGGGTAATTTCTCATTTCCCTCTCTTTTGAGCAACTGTTCCTGGGTGTTACAGTAACTTGATCTACCTGATCTTCTGCGAGACTCTTGGTGCTGGGTACAGGGTTCAGCCTGCTCTCGTGTCAGGAGCTTGGTGCCAGGTGCCGGCTTGGGGCAGCTGCTCTGGGCTTGAGGCTGAGTCTCTGCAATTGCAGGCCACACCCAGGCTGCTGCCTCACAAACCACCTGTTTCTTAGGAACTCAAAGTGCCGGTCGAGGTCCTTATTTACCTGAGTTCTGGGAGAGGCTCAGACCTTGCTGAGTACGCTGAGAATGGTGGACACAAATGCACCCAGAGTGAGGCGGATCTTCGTGTCACCAAATTCCAGACTCCAAACCCCAGGGTCAGTGTGACTCTGGTACACAATCCAGGTAGGGATTTGGTTTTATTTAGTTTTTGTTTCCTGTGTAATACTTTATTGGCCCTACATTTACATAGCTCTTCGCCTAATCCACAATTTCACTTACTTTACACTTTCAAATTAGTCCTCCTAAAGACTAAGTTTAATTGGGTTAGAACACAATTAGAGAAGTCTCTGAGGAAAGCCAAATCCGCTCCAGCCTCAGATTCCTCGGGGTGGAAGTCTGTGTGTCCGAGAGCTGCCATTCCCTGTCCCAGTTACTCTTCTTTTCAGAAGAACCCGTCCAAACAAGAGGAGGCTCATTTTCAAGTTGCTCCTTGGGGAATACTTAGGGTGCTGCCCTGTGGTCGCCCTGGGGGGCTGCACTCCTCAACCTCTGCCCACCCACGGGAGGCTTGCTTCAGGCACACCCGTCTCTCGCAGGGGACTTCCAACCATCCACCTGCCTGAAGTCGTTCATACTCGTGACCGTTTTCAATCGATGATGTATGGGGCACTGTACAGCCGCGGATCAGTACTCAGGTGCCCTGTCAGTCCCCGGCCTACCGCAGAGCTAACTCCTGGCCAGCGGACCTCACATTGCCTTCCCTTCACTCATTCCCATTCCTTTAGTGGTCGTCCATGGGATTGTCCCTCCAGTGAATGACTCCCTCTGAAATCTACAGATGGACTCCGTCAGGGGAAGTTTTATTGCGTAAAGACGGAGGCAAAGGACCAAGCCGTGATGTCATCTTGGAGAGGCGCCTTCCAGGCAGAGGAGACGGCGCAGTGCATGATACTGCTGGCTTGTCCACAGGAACAGGAGGAAGCAGCAGGTGAGTCAGAGAATGAGGGGCCAGCCCCCCTCGTGGGACCTTGCAGGCTATCGTGGGAATGTTAGGCTGTAATCAGAGCATGGGGGAAAGGTCCAGGCCGGAGGTCATTGCTTGCCGACCATCAGCGTGCAGATGGGATTTAAGCCAGGGAGCCTGGCAGGGCCTTGACAGGGTGAGTGTGGGCCAGAGAAAGAAGCCGCAGCTGAGCCCAGCCTGCTTGAGGGATTGGACACAGGAGCAGTAGCCCACAAAGGAGACAGGGAAGGGACAGGAAGAGCGGAGGGGAACCTGGGGGTGCAGATGGAGAAAAGGAGGGAGGATTTCTGGCGAGTGCTGCTGGTGGGCGGGGAAGTCAGGGCCTCTTTGGCGAATGCCTGGAGATTATCTGCAGTAGTTAGCATAACTAATTCTGAGCCGCCTGAGGCCGTGAGCATTTCTAAACCAGTCACCTTCATATGTACTGTCATTTGTGTTTTTGTGTTCCTGAGTTATTTTGTGGGCCAGATCCTAAACTCTCACAGGGCAGGACTAGCACATAAGTCTCCTGATTCTCACACAATCACCAGCTGGCACTGCACGAACTAGGATGTAACAAGCACTTAACCTTTCCATCTGCATATTCAACCAAAACACCACATTCTCCATGCAGTGTCACCAGCTCAGCTGTCGGGGGATCCGCCCCTTCCAGACCCCCAAAGCCTTCCCGTGCCCACTTATCAATTACTGCTCTGCATGGAAGTTATCTCTTCACAGCCAAGCGAGGCGTTCTGCCTCAACAAGAGCGTCTTAGTTTCCATGGCCAGGTGCGTGTTTCATGTCTTTGTCATTCCAAATGGCCTAGAATTAATTAACTCCTGTACTCATCGACCTTGTCTCTACTTAAAGTGCTTTCACTAAATGCTAATAAATAAAGCACCCACCCCCCCTGTTTCCCTTCTCACCCACTATTATTAGTGTTACTTGCACTACCGGTTAAAGGCCATCCGCTCCTCATTCAGTGTTGTTCTGTGAAGGCTGGGATTTGTGACCCCGGACTCACGTTCGTGGCCACATTAATCTTTGCCCCAGTCGGGCCGCCTGGGGTTCACTAGGTTTCGTTAGAGAGGTTAACGGTATCCTTGTGGTAATCACAGCTGCTGGGATTTTGTTGCATACCCTTCAGAAATAACAGCAAATTAAAATTGAGGTGCACACACACACACACGCACGCGCGAGAGAGAGAGCAGAGTGTGCGGAGGTGAACTGAGGGATGACGTTCATAGATTCAGAAACAGATCTGCGCATCTGGCTTTCCGTTCCCACAGCCCAGCCCCTGCATAGCGCTGGGAAACGCGTTCGTTATTGCCTGTAGCCCAATGGGTTCTGATCAAGACAGCAGATTCCAAGAATCAGGAAACCGAAGCTGTCCCCAGTTGGAGCAGAGGAGGTGCCTATAAATGGAGCAACACGGTGAGGCACTTCTGTCAGAAAACTCGAATACAAAAGAAAAGAAATTCCCTCTTTTTTTTTTTTTTTCTTTTCTTTTTAAGCGAGGCTTTCTGGACAAGCAGAGCTAGGAGGTTTCCTTCCCATAAATGTTTCCTGTACTAGAATATTGATGTATCGCTTTCATACTCCATAAACCCTGCATCTGGTGTGACAGCAAACTGTGTGCCTTCCAGGGCGCCTGACACAAGGGCCTCCTGGGGATGGGGAAATTGGTGCAGCACAGGGACCGGGCATCAGTACCCGAAAGAGGCCAGCAAGTGTTGTGTATGAGTGCAGTCACTCTGTGCCTGGCAGAGCCATTTACTTGTATGATTTTTATTTTTAAATCTAACATCTCAGAGGTATAATTTTTCTCCAACAAGTAGGAACTTCCCTTATTGACAAAGTTTTAGAAAAAAATAAAAACTTTTCTGAGGTTTCTGTTGTTACTGAGGTTGCTATTGTTCTTTATTGGTGTGTATTTTTGCTTTTCTAACATGATGTCAAGCATTTGACCTTCTGGAGGAAATAGCAGTTCAGGTTATGTGAGGAACACTGCGATCCACCAAGAGGGGGAATTGAGCCGCTGGGTCTGGCAGGAAGGGGCAGGGGACATGTCCTGGGTAAAGCAGGAAGTGAACAGGTTCATCAATTAGACCCTGTCCTAATATGACCACTGGTTATGATGTCATCAGTGGTTTCCCTAGAGCCCTCCTATTGCTACTTTGGGGACTGGACCTCTGACACCAGCTTTGGGTGGGGGGTACTTTAGATCTGGTCTATAACATTGCTCAGAATTGTCAGTTAATGTAGTGACCAAAACTCATCTTTGTCCTCTGCATTCTGGCTTTGTGCCCATCTTGTGTTCTGATTTTATCAGCCTGGCTTGGTTCTCTGGGTTCTGTTCAGTCTGTGAAGTCTTGTGACCCCAGGAACTTCCCAACTATGTAGCGAGAGAGAACAGATCAGATGGAAGGGGGGATGACAGAGACTTAGTTGGCTTTTCTCTGGGGGTGCTTCATGATCTAAAAGGATTCCTGGTATTCTAACCACACCATAAGAAAGACCAAGATATGCAGATTATTATGCATTGTGGCCGTTCTTCTCAATATCCTCAAATGTGATCTCTATCTACATCCCCAAAAAATAAAAAGAGAATTCAATAAAAAGAGAATTCAAAAATTTGAGAGAACAAGATAAAAGTATAAGAAAAAATATTTATCCTTGCATTTAAAATTTTGCACGTGGCCAGGGATTTAGATGAGTGGTTCCATTTTCTGCCTCATAAGCGCAAGGCCCTGAGTTCGATCCCTGGTACAAAAAAAAAAAAACAAAAAACAAAAAACAAAAAAAAAACAAAGGCTAGTATGCTATACTTTCCTTCTCCTGCATGTGAATTGGAAATGCAACACTAATTTGATCCCTGGTACCAAAAAATAAAGAAAGAAAAGAAAATTTTGCATGTGTATTTAAAAAGATAATATTGTTAGAGAAAGGGAGAGAGAGATTATATTTTAATTGAACTTTTATTTTGAAATAATTGTAGGTTCACACACAGCATTAAAAAAATAATATGTCTACCCTTTACCCAGCTTCCCCAGTGGTAACATCTTGCAAACTGTGGTACCTGTGCATTGGGTTTCGGTGTGGTGCATAGAGCACGTTATGAACAGAGTGTGACAACTGCTGTTGTGATTGAGACAGGTCCACGAGATGCCAGCTGAATTCTACCTAGATCAAGGCAGCTGTGTGAAGAGATAGCACTTACAGACTGTTAAGAAGTCCACGGTCAGTGAGCCAAGGTAGGATATAGTTTAGGCCCACAGTAGATCCAAAAAACTGTGGAAGGGTACAGACTTGAAGAGTAGTCAACAGAGAAAAACATAATGGGGGAAAAATTCCCTGATTAAGCAAAACTAAGTGACTGTTGTTTCTGGAAATAGTAAGTCTTTTGGTGAAGGTGACAGCTAGAGAAGATACTTGTAGCAAGAAAACTCAGGGACACAATTCATGACCAAAGGTTTTTGCTCTCATGTGGTTTCCTCTCATGCAGACAAAATTGTAGCAAATAGCTTTGAGAAGGCTAACTAGACATCTGTCCATCTCTGTGTCTAGCTACCTAGGAAAGCAGCATGTATTTTAATCACTAGATAAAATGTTTCTGCCTTGATGTCTTTATCTACTGTTTCAGCTCACTAACATAGTTACAATTCTGAGCTTCGCTCCATAAAAGTAGCAGAACATCGTTCCATCCCAATGTGTGACTTCCTGTTCAGTACCCTCAGGGTAGGGGTGGGCTGCGGGGAGGCGGTGAGTGGGGAGCTGTCTCAGAGGGCGCAGTGGGCAGTGAGTCCACGCAGGACCCACCACGCGCTGCACCCACTGTGCGCAGGGCATTCGGCACAGCACAGGCAGCCGGAGCTGTTCACAGAGGCGAGGTTGGACCTCATCCAAGGGGTCTCGGCCAAGCAGGCAGGGAGGTCTGGGAGGCCGAGCAGGACACAAATGCAGGGACCTCCCAACACGTGCTGAAGCCACAGGCCCTTCTGTGAGGGGCACTGGGCACTCGGTGTCACTGCCAACATAGCGACCCCCAGCGGGCTAAGAAGCCACATGCAGCTCCACTGCAGCAGAAATGCAGCTCCGCACAGACCTTGGAGCCCCCTTATCACAAGTTTGCACAGTGCAGGGACAGCTGACTGCATTTGCGTGCCACCCTCAGGCCCCTGTCGGGTGTTCAATCTCCATACTCCTGAAGAGCAGCCATGAGCCCTCCTCACAGGCAGCCCTCACATCACGGTTGATCTAAGGGATGAGGGGACACTGATTTTCCCTCGGAGGGAGGCAGCAGCAGGAAGCTGAATTCCCTGAGCCCTGATGTACCCCCTCCCCATTGTTGTAGTACTGGGGTTGGATCCCAGGGCTTTCACATGACAGAGTCTCACCAAGTAGGATAAGTTGTCAGGCTGGGCTCAAACTTGCAATCCTCCTGCCTCAGCCTCCCAGCTTCTCAGACTTGGACAAGGGCCAAGTTTACAATTCACTCTCTCTAACTCCATCCCCTATCCTGGGCTTTACCTCACTCACCCTGGGCCCTGGTAGGACATTAGAACAGTGTGCTAAGTGTCACACAGAATAGGTTTCCACCCGATCACTCCCATCATGACCCAGAGACAATCTGCTGTGAGCCTAGGCATGCGGGGCAGGGCTGGTCAGTGCCATTGGAACTTTAAATCCATTGGGCCTTTAAATCCAGGGACAGTCTCTGCATTATCCTCCCCAAACCTAGAGTCCCTTAGTTTAATAGAGAAACTATTTTTCCAATTAAGTTACTTACTATTTATGATTGGAAGTAAACATGTGTGTATATTCTTTGTAGGGGAAAGGTTCCAAATGGTATTGGTATAGTATAATTCCAATTTCAGGAAATGTTTAGTGTATCTGCACCTCTCTAGATTACAAAGCAAAATATTTATGGGGCTTATTTCTAAGCAGGACTAGAGGTGATTAATTCCTTCTATTATTTTTCTAATGAAAATTATGACTTTTTTACCATGTACTATATCCAAACACTAACAGAAAATCTGTGAGCTTCTGGCAATGCCAAGTGATAGATTTTAAAATCATTTCCCAGAAAACACAATGTCCTGAGCATAATGTACACAGTTGGACAAAAATGCATGCAGTAGGCAAACCCAAAGTAACCATGGTTCTCTTGTTGCAGAAAGAAAGCATTCCTGTGTGTCAGATGTATATGCTTATGCATAGAGTTCCTTCGGAAAAGACAGAGCCATGTTGTCCCTGCCCTAGGGAAGGAACTGAGTGCTAAAGGATCTTATATCTCATGGGAGATCTTTGGCACTTTTGTACAATGTGTGTTTCAGACACTGGAAAAAAATGAAAAATAGGCACTTAAATTTCTCTAACTGCTGATTTCAATCACCGTTTTCTCCTCCCTTTCCTTCACATAAACCCCTCACCATTGTCACATAGCTTACTCAGTCTGGGTTCATTTTTTACTTACTCCCCAAAACCTATAGTCTCTCCTATTCCCCTGTTTGAATAACAAATACCGAGAACTCTTCCCCACCGAAAGCTTCAACCTGAACATGTGGGTGCTTTAGCAAAACCTCTCACAATGCATGGCACCAGGGGCCGTGCTGAGTTTGTCCCTGTTTTCAGGTAGCCAAGTCCCGTCTGTAAGAAGGACTTGATCCGGTCTGCAGCCAGGACTGTCCCAGGATTTGGATTCATACAGATGAGCTCACCAACATAACCTTTGCCTATACAGAGTGCCTGTGTGCGCCGCGAGTGGTCTAAGTCTGTGCTTAGTAGAGAAAAGATGGTGGTCAGATGACATCCCTGTGTCATATCACCCTGATGCATGTAAAGTATTATGTTGCCTGGGGTTTGACCTAAGCATGGCTTGTGAGTGTTTCCATGGTTACCCCAAAACTGTATGTGTTAATTTCTATATGCTGACAATAACTGTTGACAAATGGCTTGTGTACTCAGACTTCGGTTTAAATGGTCGGAGGGAGGGAGCTGCTCCACTCTGAAGAGGTGAGGTGTAAGCTAAGGAAGGGGTGTTACCAGTGACAGCTTCGAGTTTAGGAGAGTCACAGGAGTTCCTGAGCACCTGTTCACTTACCCAAAGGTTTAAAGCTTTAAGCAGTGGGGAAAAAAACCGATCTGACATAAGAATTCTGAGAAGCCTTCAAAGACTTACTATTTCAACATTAATGGAGAGGACAGACTGAAGGACAAAGACAGAGATCTGAAAGACACTGAAACAAAGAGAAAAACTGCGTGTGAAAAATCAATAAGCCATAAACAATCTGAGGAACACAGGAGGTGATTTACAATTGTGAGAATTGTAATTTAAAACATCGTGAGCAAAAGTTAAACATGCCAAAGAAATTAGCATAAATTTTATCCTAACAGAAATGTTTTATTTGACATGGCCTGAGCCACCTATTCTGAGAA